AAAGTGCCTGTCTGAAAATATAATTGAGCAACACGACATTATTTTCTTGCTCCAAGTGTACTCGAAATGAATATAGGTAGTGTCACGTGATAAAACGTCAAAAGACTTGATCAGATATGGCATTATCGATAGATTCGATGGCAAATATTTACATATATACATATTTATTATTCGTAATATATATGATCAGCTGATGTTACTGTATCGAACACTAAGTAAACACAGCTGATGTGTATATTCATGCTGTTCAAGAATCATTTATTTAAACATTCCGTCGTTTTTCAAGAAACGAATACTAAGTCACGTGAGAGAATGAGACGGAAACTGTCTTACCCGTGTTAGCGGAAGCCCCACGTGACAGGTGAATTTCAGCGCCGGATATTGGCAGGCTAGTCACGATTATAATAATTGATTGAGCCACATGCCGCATTGTCCTAGCGGATATAACCTGGTTAAATATGTTCAATTGTGGTGTACCTTGAATGACCTCATCCGTGCCATTAACGACGTATAAATTGGGTCAATCGACGCACCGCCAATATAGTGGATGGACATTACGACCACCTTCAGTGTGGTTCAAAACCAATCCAATAGACGGTGCTGTGAAAACACTGAGCTAATTTTTGAAAGGTAAGTTTATCACAACTCAATATTGAATGACTGACTGAGAATTGGTTTGCCTTACGTACCGTCCGACCTGTCTCTATTTTGAAACGCCAATTTATTTCGTCGCACACGTGTACATTGAGAACTTGAATGAATGGCTGCGTTTCTCTGTTTGTGATTCATCGCAACAAGGGTCCATGATCACCACCACGGCACACATCATAATTTGATTAAACAAAGTCAATATTTAAAATATTTAAAAGTTATATTTTTTTCTCAACTGTTACTGTTAACTTACTGCTTCAATTTTGACATTTTTGTTAGCACATCCGTTATAGTAAATGTCTCCTTTGTCTTGTGTAAGTAGGAACTAGAATGAGCATCTTTCAATATACCAGCGACTCGGGTATTCACCAGGGTTAAAACTATATAGGCTGGTTCTGTCAACTTCTTTCACATTGCAATACAATCATTCTGTTGTCCAGCTAATTATAACATTATAAATACACGCATCTAATTATCGGATATTAATACTGCCAGATGCTTAAATAATAATATGGATAAATAATTATGGATTTTGGAATTGGCAAAATCTGAGGCAGTTTGGGCAAACGCAATTATAGTTTTTGTTTCGATGGGATAATAATTTAAATATAAATAATTGTGTGGATGAAAGTAAAACCGTGGTGTACCAATTGTAGCCGAATTGCACAAATTAACAACTAGGCATATTTGACATATTATTCTATTATCAAATACTAATACAGAATTATCAGTGGCAAATAACACACGAAAGAGAACATATATATACAGTAAAATGGACTTTCTACTGTTCGCCCTAAAAGAGTGTACCGGCATTCTGATTCGTGTTTAGATTAACCCACGTTTTAACAAGTAATAACAACGTTCCTATAGTATTCAGACTTGTATAGACTTGTTTGTGTTTTCTAGTCTTGAAATATGTAACAAAGTCAAATTGTTTATTATACACATATATGGAAAAATAAATACGGTTTTCTAAAAGCTAAATACGATACTAAATGTTTAATACGGACTGGCAAAATTTGCGACGAATTAACCAACTAAAGTCTCATTGACTCTAGGAGCAATGCTCTTTTTTCAAAGGAAGTCCTTTTGCCTATAGAACCGCATACTTGTGTTTACGTGACACAGAGAGCCACTATCAATGGGTGAATTGAATCCTGCTGTACACTTAGAAATCTGTCCATAATTGCATCTCACGAGAGACTTCCGTTTACATTAGTTTTATAAAATAAGTGTATACATGAATAAAATGTGTTCACCGGGGTTATAGGGCAAGTCCTCATTAATGGAACATAGCATCGTTATTGACCACCAGGGCCATTTCCCTAGATAATTCTCTAGTCAAAGAAAATCATTGTGATATAGGTTTTTAGAAGAATGGCTATTATTGTATTATTTAGTGATAAATTGGTTATCCCAATTATAACACCATGAAATATCGAGAAGTATATACGTTTAGCGGTAGCATGGGAGGAAATAAGTTAACGGGTCCTTGATTCTTGTATTTCAGAGTTACACGTAGAAGAGCAAACGAGATGCTGACATACGTAAATCCCCGGCCAGAAAAGAATGACAAACAGTTCTTAACCTGAAAATTAATGTTGGGTTTGCTGTTTACAATATTTACATAAATGTGGAAAAATAGTGACGAGTCGTAAGCATAAATCTTGTTCGTCTACTCGTGCATTGACCTCGAACACTGTCCTGTGTAGGGCTGCACGTAGTACCGATCGACATTTCAATAACGGCCAGCACACTGTGTTATAATTAGAACCAATGTGCACGCTTCTTTGTATGTGCTTGGGGCATAAACTGTATATTTTTATACACCCTGAGCTATCATATGCCTTGTGCTCTGCGCAAATTAAGTGTGAAACCATATTCCATGCGTATCTGAAAGTGCTGTGCGTGTATACGTTTACAATTGAAAATATATTCAAAATAATCCAAATATTTCTGACACAACCCCGATCAATACTTAGTTGCCAAGGTTATTGTCAGGCTTCAAAACGTTTCGCTGTTGGTAGTTACAAAATAACGAATATATATCCCCCCCCCCAAAAAAAAAAACTAATGGCCAATTATTTTTACTTTCAGCCAAGGAGAAAACCATGACAACAACAGGGATAATGACGTTCATCAATACAAGCGAAATACTGGGCGATTCATTGGAGGATTGTATTCACAAACACAACGATACAAACACAATTTGGGTATTAGAATCGGCCATTAAAGGTTATCTTTACTCGAAGAAAAGTATCGCAATCGTTACAATCGGAATGCCTCTCATCTTTCTCATCGGTTGCCTAGGAAACGCTTTGACTATACTTGTTCTTTGTACAAGAAAGATGCGCTCTGCAACGAACTGCTTTCTTATCAATCTGGCTATTGTTGATATTTTATTCCTTTCCTCTGTTGTACCGCCGAAGTTCATCTCATATCTGTTGGCCCCGACTCCATTTCAGTACGACTTCACTGTACTCGGTGGTAAAGAGTGGGTGTGCAAGCTGATTCGGTTTGTTCCTCGATTCACGCAGAACATGTCGTGTATTTTGATTCTTGTCATCACCAGCGAAAGATACATGGCTATATGCTGCCCTCTACGGTGTCGTAACTATCACACGCACGCCGTAGCTGCTCGAGTCAGCTGTATCACCTGGTTGATGACGCTGGTTTATTCTTTACCGCATTTATGTTACGCCGTGGTTACACGCCACCACATGTGCTGGCCGTCCTCGTACAACGTAACCATACTACCGCAGTCAGTCTTAATGTGTAAAAGCTGCGAGGCCGAGCGCTGCTACACAATAAACTTATTTGGTAAAATTGATGATGTGATTTTGCTGTGTGTTGCACCCGTCTTGTCCATTCTATACGTGCTAATGTTTCTGAAATTGCGGAGTTTTGCGCGTACCTTTCGAAGAATTTCAGCAAATGGTCCCAACAGAGCGAATCGAGTATCAGCAAGAGTCAAAAAGCGGTTGCTATTCATGCTTGCTGGGACAGTTGTGACTTATATCGCATGTGTCGGCCCATTCAGAATGTTGGATTTGATGAGGCTGCACCGATACGAAATGCCGAAGGATACGTACAACACGGTGCTCGGAATTTGCCGTATGTTGCTCTACCTGAATTCCATGATCAATCCATTCATATATAGTATATTTAACAAAACAATGCGGTTGGCTTATTTGAACTCCCTGAAATGCCATCGACGAGGTTATTGAATGACGGACGCTTGCAGTAACAACAAACCAGTCTGTTGTAAAGAGAATGTGAGTAAGTCACTAACGATGACGAGTATTACGTGGAAAATCATCAGTATTTCCCCATGCTTGATCACAATCGTTCGGTGCACGGGATGTTGAATAAAAATAAATAAAATATGCTAAAATGTAGCAAATTTTGATGCATTTAATAAACACCGAACAACAAATATTTCTCAGGAATTACGTGTGTATGAGTAGAAATGATACTGAATATGTGCTCGAAATTCAGTGTGCACCGTTCATGACAGTCACGCCCTCAGTCGACAATGTGCTTTCACGAGAGTAAGGAATGTCGTTGGGGGCGTCGACTTTGTTTTCATCTGTAGTCATTCTAACAAATCCTTGGGTCCGTAACGCCATAAGTTACAGCGTACCGTAATTTTGTTGTATTTTACGGGGTATTTTCATCCTACCATATTAGGAAATACGAATTACTGAAAATTTGAACTGACACAATGGCGGAAATAATTGATGATAGAAGTGACATTCGAGAGTATTGGGCCATTTGCATATTGTTGAAGATAAATATATAGATCACAAAGATAAGCAAGGCAGTGAGTTGACATGATTAAGGAGTGCGGCCAATATTTAACTATGCAAACGAGGTCATTGATAAACAAGGGGAAAAGTGCCGGAGATAAAACAATTTCCGAACGTATAAACACGGATTTAAACTGAAGACACAGCAAAGCGCCACGTCACTTTCAGCAGACACAAGCATCAATATTCTATATTAAAAAGGCTCGATGACAATGACTAACTTTTATCTCAAGTCGAAATATTCAAATATTAAGATTAGTAAAAATCAGAAGGTTATGGAGACCTATATCCACAAAAGTAGTTCAGAACAATGCCATCACCGTGGTGATAACTGGGAGTAACTTATAAAGCCCCGTGACTTTTATATACTGACATAACGTTTTAACATGTACACTCCCGACCTAGTTTATGTTTTTATTTTACACTGGAGATAAATCTAATGCCACAAAAATTTAGATAAATTCTCCAACTAATTCTGACAGAAATTACTTTTACTTGGCAAAGGTTATCCTTAAAAGTTAAACCTCTGTTCAAAACTCAACTAGTCTAAATTCACATGATACATCTAATTCCAGTATTTATTGAGAAAATTAATTTTCTGAATTGCCAACGTTTTCCAAAACTACCAATCGATTACACAATTTTGTGTAAAGACGCACAGGTATAAACGATTGCGGTGGTACAATTATTTCAAAGTAATAGGTTGACTGGTAACGATGTGCTCAAAGTAACCTTTTCCATGTTTCTCTGAATCTGATGAGCCCCCGCTTGGTCGGTTCCATTTATTATGTTATAACTGGCGAGCGATTTGCTTCGGGATCATAATGCATTATTATTACTCTCATAGAAAAAGGAGGGAAGGACCACGGGTGTCTAAATAATTGGAGAATTAATTCTTTGCTCAAATAGGATTTTACTATAAGTGTTTAGCGAAACCATTAGAACGAATCCTGCCAACATTACTAGAAAGACGCAAACATTATGTTACGATATATTGGAGATGTGATCATGCTAGTACAGACAATTTCAGACTATATCATGGAATATTATTTTTTCTTAGCTAAGTTTATCAATAGATTTTGAAAAAGGTAAGCTGGAATTCATTCAATATTATTTGAAGTACTAAAGTTATTTAATCTTGGCCAACTTTTACAAGCTGAACACAGATTTTGTAATTATCTTAATTGGGTTATGGAACAAGTGATTCACACTTCTCAGAAGGACAGGCCAAAGCGACCCAATTTCATCATACTTTTATATTTGATATCTGAAGTTACAGTCACAGCATTAAGATTATTGACTTCAGCTTCAGCTCAGAAAGGGATTTTCGCTTAGTGTCTGGTCAGTTCGCGACTATAGCAAATGTGAGGCGATGTGGCTAGTAGTTAAATTTGGCTGGTACCGTAGAAAGTTTAGCTAAAACTTGGAAGTAGTGATTTGCATTTTTAACGAATGAATACTATACAGTGTGCGGCAATGCTACCATGTATTATCAATCTGCAAGGAATATTATCTGGTTAAGACGGTTTGTTGAAGATTCATATTCCACCTCTGGAATTCGGTTTATTTGGAATAACCATGTGATATTGGTAGGAAAACATGTATATTATCCTTGATTTATAGTTTACAAATTATCTATTCAATCAATTTGATAGTGGACAAATTTGGATAGGAATGTCAAGAATATGATAGGAACGTCATCGCAAACTGTGTGTGTATCAAAACTGTGTATGTGACATTAATTCTGCACTTTCAAGGGACAGAACAGTAGTTATTGTTATTTAAAAGTTTTAGTAAATCAATTAGATACTTAATTCACCAAACAAATGAAATATTATGGTGGTCAAGTGCAAATACATTTGCCCTCACTTTTAAATATACGTTTCCATGCAACTAAATACTGAATTAAATTTGAAAACAATGTATTGTATGCCATTTCAATTGAACTCCAAATGAAGAATATTATTACAAAATGCATACTTTTGTATGTCTAAAATTAGGACTATACTACACTTGTTGTATGACTGCAGAATTTTCGAAAGGTTAAGGACTAGACTGATTAGTGATCTTTTTGATATTGGATGTTTCCAAAGCTAACACTGTTCCTGAAAAACATTTGTCCTTATTGACAAACTAATTGACGTAATATAATATAATATATTATTATATATTAAACTGTTTAAATCATTCCTGGTCTGCAACTATATAATGTGTGTTCGTATTTTCTGTATTATTGATGTATTTATTTTATATTGCATTATGTAATGTAACCTTGTGACTAAGTGTGAACTGAATGAATACAAATCAATAAATTATAAAAACAAAATAATGTAAACACTTTACGGGATTGGCGATCCATCATGCATTGCACGTGTTATGTATTGGTTTTGAACTCAAAGAGGACAAGCCTTTCAGATATGAATTATGTATTATCCTAAATAATGAATGTAACAATCCCAACAAAGCTGAGTAAGCTACAGGGCATGGTTGACATTTCAGTTCAGTTTAATACGAGCAATAATCTTCTGTGTTACAGTGAATGGTATAAAACGATTGCCTGTAAAGCTAGCGATGTATATGCCATCGATTATTGTATTGTGATTATATAGGAAACAGAGTTAACCACAACATTACTATGTACTGCAGTAGTATACTACTCAGCAATGTTAAAGTTTGTGAGTTTTTGATTAAATTGACTTTGAAGAAATTTGACACATGATTAATTGATGTTTATTTAACAATGGACTTAATTATAGTTAATAAAAAGTAATGACGAACTGTCAGCTTACAGTGATAGACTTATTGCACAAATTTGTATTATATATGTTGAATGTCACCAAGTATTCAACTATCATTAAACTGAGAAAATATATCTTTTGAAAATATATTAGAATATTTTTCAGTCAAAGTTCAATTATAAAACGCTAGTTCTCTCTAATAAAACATTCGTAAAACCAAGCAATTGTATTGGAAAATAAATTGTTTCTAAATTGAATATAATTCACAGTTTCAGCTGTTTGTCAAACTGTCGATGCTACGTGCCTAATCCTAATTCTAATTAAAAATCGTCAGATTTGCAAATGTGTATCCAATCAGTATTACGTGTACTTTATACAGTCACAACTCAAATTATTACCATCTGAAAGTTGTCTGTAGGTTTTATTTTGAATAGCAATAACAACATCTCATTGATCACGTACAGCTATATAACAACCCCATATGCATAATAGAAAAGTGATATTGAATTGAAAACCGCCACGAAGTACGTATTGGTTTGCGCTCGTGTATGACGCACAATATATATCTGAATAAATGATGACAAATCTAATCATGTGATACGCTTCTTGATTTTGCTGTCCTCTTTCCAATATTTGCCAGTCTGTTACACAGTTACTTCAGGTGAGTACGCTAAGTGTTCTATTTTCTTATAGTTAGATACCAATTCATTTGCCATAAATGATGTGTGCTCTGTGTACATTAATATGTTCATAATAACGGACTATTACAGTTTATTTCAAATAAAAGGTGAATTGGCTATTTTTGAAGCATCCAAGTGCCAAATCATGTTTTAATTGAACAAATATTGATGTCAATACTTTCATTCGTTTTAAAACAACAATACTCTAAATAACGACTATTAGTTACTGGAGAGAACCAACATACTTTGCCTTACATGGAATGCATATTTTCATTCTGTCTTCCGTAAAATCATAACGCTTTGCTGTGACGCCGATTACAAGTGTAGCGACATACATATCTATTGCCATATCACTAGGTTAGATTGACACGGCGTCGAGTTACAATTCTTCTGATGTCGCTATGATATCTAACATCTATGCAACAATCGTGTCTACCATTTATAAAAACATTTATACACAAGTGTGATAGATTCAATGCAATGTTTGATCGCAAATGAGAATTGACATTTATACGTTTATGAAATGTTTTGCTAAATGATTTCGGATCCAACATTTTGCATTTGATGTACATACGACTTCAGCAATATTAATTATAACTAGGCGACATATTTAATGCATTAATTCAACATAGTGATTGTCTCTACTGGTAGATAGACAGGATAATGGTGTAGAGTTCGCATTGGAATATAGATACTGGTCTTATGTGTGTATATATGTGTCTAGTTAATACTATACATTGATATACGTCCAAGATTCGACTTGTGATTTAACAACTAGTCACTGTGGAACAATGCTTGCGGTAATCACGAGTTCGATTTCCGTGCTTGATGCATTTCTCTTAGTTAGCGTGTACATTAATACATTATAAGCAACCAAGAATACACTTGGACCTATAGATAATGCGGTATTAAGCGCCTATGGCACATTACATTATTCATTTATTGCATGATATGCTGATCCATTTCAAAGGTCAGCGTGGATTTTCAGTTGTGGGACATG